CGAACAGAGTCTGCGGGTTCAAACTATAGCTAGTCCCAAACAGGTATTCCTGAAAGGTAGATGGTGCTGCCATTAAGTGCACCAGCTGTTTTGCTCATACGGAGGCATTTCCTTCATACTGCTCTCCTAGATAATACAAATACAGAATATTTGTAACAGTTGGCAGATGTACAAGGAACCCTCCTCCACAGAGGTTCATTTTTACTTCTTATCCTTTTTAAGGAAAAGATTTAGGTCTGTAAAGTAAAACTGAGTCTGAGTCAACCTGAATCAACCAGTTCCAATAACGAGATTTTCTGGAACAAGAGAGCTAACCTGTGTTCAGATATCGATACTGTGTTAAACATGAACAACCAACGCAAAGCAACTTTCAATCTCTTCTGAACAAGGTTTGGCACAGTCAAAACCAGGCTGAAACAGGAGACCAGTCATCTTGGAGATGGAAGAGATGCAGAATTAGTAGGAAGCGTATGACGTAATCTTAGTTTTCAGAAATTAAATAAACAAACACTGAGCCAATCACCCTAGGACCTTTTAGCATCAAAAAAAGAAATAGGCAATTTAGGCTGTGGTTCATCTGACCAATTTTAGACAATTACTTCAGGATGAGATGGACTGTGACCAAAGAGTTTCTCTTTCTGTCCACTAAAAACAGGGAGTACATATTTTCAGCTCAGATGGAGAAGTCTGCATTTGGCCTTATGAATGACTCCCAAATTGTCCAATCCTCAGCAAACTAGAAGAAATTACATGGATTTCAACTCTGTAGTGCAAGCAAAGGAGCTACAAATTGAAAGCAGATAAGGATCTGCTGCGAAGAATGAAGGCAACATGAGTGAGTGGCACATCTTCCCTTGGTTTTAATGGAACCAATGTTTTACTATTGAACTTAGCACAGAAATCAGCAGTAAAATGCTGGTAATGCACATCATTGGAATGTTAGAATCACACACAGCAGTCGATGCCAGTTCAAGCAACCCTAGAGCAACAGGATCTCAAGTATTATAGATAGTCATTTGTGTCCATTCACAACTGTTAGCAATGGCTGAGCATCCTTTGGGTGAAATTCTTGTGTCAGAAACATGTCTTAAATGGTTTTTGCTTTTTGAAAGCGAAAAGAAAAGAAAAGAAAAGAAAAGAAAAGAAAAGAAAAGAAAAGAAAAGAAAAGAAAAGAAAAGAAAAGAAAAGAAAAGAAAAGAAAAGANAGAAAAGAAAAGAAAAGAAAAGAAAAGAAAAGAAAAGAAAAGAAAAGAAAAGAAAAGAAAAGAAAAGAAAAGAAAAGAAAAGAAAAGAAAAGAAAGCAAAAGAAAAAAGATGTATTATTGCTGATATAAGGTTTGTTTGATTGTTTTAATATCCGTATGTTGAAGGCAAAACTGCTGAAATTATTCTATTGTAAACAAATTTCACTACAGCTTAATTTGTCTTTGAAATACAGCATTTTCTTAGAGCTTAATAAAAAGACCAATAAAAGTATCCCCCAGATTAGGGCTGTCTTTGGGGCTTTTTTAAGTCTGTGAAATGCAAATGACTTCTAAATCCTGAATTAACTGGTTTTAAATAATCTCCCTATATTTAAGCAGTTTTATTATTGTGCTTGCACTTTATAATGGTCTAAGAAAAACAAGATTTATTAGTGATCTTATTTTTTCTCAAAACTAAACATTGTTAAACATGATCCTTTTCTGAAAAAGCCAAGCTCTTAATTCTTTCAGATTGTCCTACAATGCTTTGCATGGTCCTCCAGAGGCGGAGTGTGGAATTCTAGTCTATTCCCTTTGTGCTTATTAAAAGACCATAAGTAGTATAAAGGAGAACCAAACATCCACTAATCATGAYGTACTTGTTCTTCCATTCTAGGCCTTGTGAGCATGCAAGTGAGGTTACCCTGAGTACCACATTGCAGTACTTGATATCATGATAGAAAAGTGGAGGAGTGGGTGGGTTTTTTTGCACCAGAGAGTCTTGGCAGTAAGCAGCAGCCCTCTGGATTTTCCCTATTATAAAACGTGAYTAGATCATAGCCTTCAAGAAATGTCTAGGCTAGTCACCTCAGCACAGCATAGCCATGAATCTCCTGGATTTCCTGTGTGAAAGCATGTGCTGGATCCTGGAGAGATGTCTGGGCTGTTATTACTTGAGCTGACCAGATAAGCCTGTTTGTGTCTGCATGTGTGCAGCAACTGACCTGCCATATGGCAGTGTCATCACAGCCTTTAACAGGTGTTCAGGCCTGACTAAATTTAATTTGAGTCCAATCCAAAGTATATTTTGGAAGCATAAGCATGTGTTAAACTGTTTGGTCCCTTCCCACATATCCACACACACAAAGAGCACTCTTTTCTTCTCCATGGCTTTGATATGACTAGCACAGACCATTACACGCTAGTCTTAAACACATTTTTTGTCTACTCCTTCCTGGATAAATGCAAGAATCGTCACATATATTGTAGCTGTTGTTGTTTTGTTCCTCCTGCTTCATCTTGCATGTTTTTTTTTTTCTCCCTGCCATCTGGGTTTCCACAATTAGAGATAGGATTCATCTCAACTAACCTTCTCTGTCGGAAAGGTGAACAGTGTAAAATAATCACCTAGGGTCTCCCAGCAGTCAATAGAGAAAACAGACAACTCCAAATAGTGATTTGTCCCAACTTAACCCAGATGTCTGACACACGCAAGACAAATCAGTCTGGGAGGGTGCCCCATTTCTCTCCACTGAATATAGAGCCCAGCAATCTGGCTTAGGCCAAATCTAGCTTTTAGAAAACTAAAGGTAGGTGAGATAAATCCTGTCCTYAGCATTTTATGATACTACTGAATATTCTTTGTACTCCAGAGTAGAGCACTTACGTGAAAAGTACTACTTACRTCAAGACAGTTCTGAAGAGGAAATATAACATGCCAAATAGAAAAAGAAATGGAATAGTAAATACAGAGATTTAGAATTAAATTGCAAGATTAATTATCAATGACTGCAACATTATCTGTTAGGTTCAGCAATACAATTACACAGCTGCAGATTAATACAGTTAAATACTTTACACCTGGAAACAGACACGCTTTTTGTCAGCTTACAGAAAAATTCCATTTTCCATTTCCTTGCACTTGTCCAATTAGATATATAATGATAGTAACATACAGTATAAATTCTGTATGCAGATTCTTATTAAAGAAACATCTTAACAATATATTTTAAAGAAATTGCATACACACTTTTAAAAGTAATATTTTAGAAAGACAGTTTGAGGTTAGGTCACATTAAAAAATAATTATACTTCTTCATACTGGAAGGGACATGGTCAAACAAGAATTAATATGAAAAATTATTCATTGTTAAAATTGCTGTGTATTTCTGAGAAACAGCTTCTGAGGTACTGTAATAATAAATTACTGTCCAAAAGAGTATCTACTTTAGAAATCGCCTTCTTAATGTACAATACATGAATGCTAAGAACATTCTTGAAATTGTACACACATTATGCTAAAAGGATATTATTAAGTTGCAAATTTAAGTACTCAAAAATTAGTACTCCAAAATGTGTCTGAGCAACCAGGATTCAGCCCCCTTGTGGGGACTCAGAAAGCTAATGTTTAATTACATGTTCAGATAAATTATTTTCTACAAAGTCTATCAACACTGTTGCATACCTAAGTAGTAGAAAAGTGGATTCAGGAGAACAATGAAAACAAATGCTTGTTTTTAAAAAGTATTTAATTGCCAGCAAATTCAGTGGTTGTTTATTACTCGGGGGAAAAAAAGAAAAAAAAAAGCCTAAAACATTTTCCAATATGAAATTCTTCCAATATGAACTATGCACTCCTGAAATATCAGTATATAACCTCATCAATTAGGTGATAAGCAACACAGCTGGTCAAAACATTACTAACMATTTTCCCCTAATATAAGAAATTTTCCTTTATATTAAAGGGAACCTATGTTTTTATTTTGCTTTGTTTAAGGAGATCACAGTTGGTTTKTATTCTTTCTGAACAGTTTTCACTGCAAAACTAGTTCTAACCCATTCCAATGAAGGCTGATATCAGTTGTTTGCTTARAGAAATCAGTTTAAAGTAGAGTACTATTCTCCTCACCCATTTTATATATTTACATGATATAAATGTGATTCTTTCTCTCCACTAATTTCAAAGGAGTTCTGAACTGACCACCCCATATGTAAACACYTCAGTTTGGCTAGATGAAATACACCCTCTAGCCAAACTCTCATAAAATTGTGATGTGGCTCTTTGATTCATTAATGGCCATAAAGGGCTCAATGAAGTGAGACAGGAGATAAAAAAAATCTACAATGCGGGATGTTTCCAAAATTGATAACCAGCCTGAGAAAGACTTAAAAATTTTTCTTAAGGTATAAAACACAACAGCTGAGGAAAGCTTTCATATATTGAAATATTTTACTTTTTTGGTGTGTCCTTCCTAAAATGTACATATAAATGGCTCCCTTCTCCCCTCTAAAATAGTGTAAAATTCCTCCCAATCCTCTATATGCACAATGACCAGTGAGGCACTTCAGAAATTGAATAATTATATCCTCAAATAAATAAACTTCCAAATATTACATCAGTTGCACCATTAAGTAAAGGCCAAATACTCATTCAGGAATCATTCCAGATTAGAAAGCACCATGGCATATGTGTTTTCTCTCTTCATCCATTATCCTCCATCACAAACAAGCTCTTTCATTTCCTGAGCCTTAATTTTCAAGTCTTAACAGTGTTTTGAAATATGTCTCTGTGTGTGTATGTTTTATAGAGTTTATACAGTCAGTTTAGGGGGTTCTGAGTTTGTATCCGAGTCATTCTAGGAACATGGTTGCTCCTCAAGTATTCCAGCAAAGTGTGCACATGTGTGCCTCATAGCCACTGACTTCTTCAATGAAAACTAAGCTCAGGTGCCAGGTCTTACTGAAACTGGTGGCTCTGAAGCACATGCCTGAATGTTTGGTGAACCAGTTTCTCACATTTTACAGTCATCCTTGGAAGATATAAAACCCTTCCCCATAGGTGTTATATATTCCATACTTTAGACACTCTGGGAATTAGTAAGTTCATCAAGTCTGCATCTTGTGTCTGGCTTATAGTTTGCTTGACAAGCTGTGCCTCTGCTCTTACCTACTTTGCTCTTCATCTTGACTCCACAGATGCCCATCAGTGAATTGGATCAGATTTGCTTTGAACTTCATCCAACTCTATGACCTGGAACATTTAGACTGATGTGATCTCCCAGATTAATACGTTAGATAGTTAGAACTTTCCATTTCTAGAATTGCCTAGTTATAAAATGGTAATTCATCATGGGAATCAGGCAGAAGGAAAAAGGACATTTCACTTCTCCAAGTGCTATTAAACTCCTGTGAAACGGATCTGTCAGCTCCTGAGACTATGTTTCCTTCAGATATCTGCCAAGCTGGGACAAGTGAACTTAGACCACACGTACATTTCTTCTTTGACCCTGTGAGCTATAAAATGTGACATACAATGAGAATATTGAGCTTACAAAGTCCTGTGAGGGCCTGCTTGCATGTGCATGGACAATCTTTTGTGTCTAAACACTGCTGTGTATGTCCATGTACACATCTGTGCATGTCCATATTTCAGTCCTCCATAGCACCTGCCTTCATGAATTTTTTTAATTAATATCTTATTTTCAAGAGCATTAAATTTATTGAAAAGAATTGCTAAAGAAGAAAGCTGGAATAACAGTACTGAGAACACTAAGACCTGAAATTACCTTGTCTTGCTTAAGGACATAGTGGCCGCAGGGAGCATTATTTTATAATTATTTCAGACTAATGTTAATGTTTAAAAGCTAGTATTTTAATGAAAATGTTTGATCCTGATGAAGCACAGAAATTGGTTGTGGCTTTTAAGTTGTGTTGTTCAAACACCTCACATACAGACAGTAGATGGGCAGCATAATCCTCTTTGGGGCTTCAGGTACAAAACAAATCATTATAGCTTTCCTATGTATGCCAAGGTTAAATAAACACCTGTAATGCTCAATAACTTCAGTTCCTCCATACACTGTATTAGTGGCAGTTTCCCTTAGGATTGGACTAAGCATATAAGCATAAGGAAAATGTAGACTTGATTTCAGAATTCCCTTGCCTAGTGGATAGAGGTAAAGATAATAACAGTAACAGGGTGACACAAGCTAGAAAAACTAATACAAGGCCACCAAAGGACCTGAATGCACCTTCTGGGTCCTAGTCTTTCTGAAAGGACTAGATACAGATCAGTAACAAGTGACAAATAAAAACTGACATGTATTACTGAAGGTGGTCTGGTGAGTCTTATCACACAGGTATGAAAGTTTGTGACAGGGCAAGGACAATACAGTTCACTGGATTTGATCCTGACTTCTAGCTGCTCTTCACTTCCATCACATAATCAGTCCCCCTCCCTGAACTCTTTCCCTGTCCTTTTGATTCATTCGATTTATGTAGTAAATAAAAAAAATCTCCAGGATAGTGGTTTCTTCTTACAGTGCAGGAACATGTTCACTTTCCAGCCATTACAAACAGGTCAGACAAATCACAGAAATCAGTTGATATCTATTGAATACTGCTTGTATGCCTTTTTTGTTATACAAGGACTGATAACATCTATTTTTACAATTTTCTTTCTCTTACCACATCTGCAGACYCTCCATAGCATAATTGAGATACACAGTCCAACAGCAGCTGTCTGATTAGAAAGACTGTAAAAATATTATCAGGACTTATATGGCCTGCCTTGACTGCCCCTTCACCCACCCAAATCAATACCAAGCTTACTGTTGATTTCCAGGAATCACCATATCAGCTAAAGACCTGCTGCTTTTTGTCTTTGTATTCAATAGGAACACATTCTTTCCATTTACACCTTTTAGCCACTTTTAGCCATTTGTAACACCTGCACCATTCTGCCCTATGGATTCCTCTCTTTTGAGGCTGGTGGAATTCCTCTAACATGAATATTGATATTTTGCACAGCACAGGTGAAGGATTTCTACTTAGAACTTTGTATGTGAAGGCCATATTTTTTACTGAAACAAGATAATTTGGGGAATGGCACAAAAGAACACTTTTACATGAGAAGAAATTAAATCTCAGTATCCTCCTTATCTCTRCATTGCCTATCACAGGAGGATCCCTATGGGGGTAAGCAAGTAGTAGCAATGAAATCCAGTATACAGAGAAACTAATATGATATAGAGATAGAATCACAACAAAATTGTTGTACCAGATGTTAAGCATAGAAGAGATATAGCTCCAGTGACTTCATTAAAATCATAATCATTTACATCACCTAAAGGTCCAGTCTCCCCCAGGGAGACTGACCTATTTATTGTCCAATGGTGTCTCCTCTGTCTCCTTCTCTATCTCAGCCTGCAAAGATCAGGCTGCACAGTTTATCTGCTCCTTTTTATTTACCTTGGTTCTAGTAGTGTTGCCTAATTTAATGATCAAGTTGTTAAATTTTCCTGATTGGGCTGTATCTTCCCCTGATTTAGTGACGCCCTTCTTGAGTGCAGTTGTTGCACACTTTGCTGATTGAGATGCATAATTTAATTTAATAAATGGAGAGAGTTTACTATCATTTTTGCATATTTTATTATTAGGGAAGGAAGATTCATATTTTTCAGCTCCAGTTTATTCACTCCCCTTATTTATTTATTTTTGGCAAAACCAGCTGCACAGACAACGCTTGTTCAGCTGCAAAACTCCGCTGACCAAGCTGTACAATTCAGGCATTGAACTTTTGAATCTTTTCCTTATTAAGGTGCATATTTTAGCAGTAGAAATTCCAGATGCTTTTTGCTTCAGCAGCCTGAGCTTATATGCTAAACAGTAGACAAATCTGTTGGGGATATCATTTGTTTTAAGACCACTAAAGTGCATTTTCTATAGTTTCAGCTATGTTTTTAGATTCTTTGATAAAGCAAATAAAGATGCAATCAGTTTCTTTGTAAATCTTGCTACTTTGCATATAGTAAGTGGCACAAGCTTTCCATAACCAGCAGCTTCAATCTTTGGAGAAGCGTTTTTCCCACTATTTGAAAGAAAACCTAAGCATTTTGCTATCTTAGATTCTGAAGACACAGCAGGTTGGAAATACTGTAATTCCTGCTCAGTTTATTTTGCATAATATATTGGGGAAAAACAAGCTTGAAACTGGACTGGCAAGCACAGAATGTAATAGCTATATAAACAGTGATAATAGGCGGCTCAATCAGCAAAGAATGCAGCATGATTATGTATAAAATTTCATCCACTAAAGTTCAYAGCGTGATCAGGAAAGGAGGCAGCCAATCAACGGAGCATAGAGCTCTACTGGGAATGAATATGTTTTGAAAACTCAGCTACCCAGAATATTCAAAGGGATCAGCAAAGTTCTGAAAGGGGCATTTGAAGATAATAATGGGCATGTCATTATTAATGAGTACAATGGCAGCCCCTGAGCATATCTCTGTGGTCCTGTTTCCAGCAGCACGTTCAAAGGAATTTAGCTTTCACCTTCCTAGGAATAAGAGTTAATGTTGTGCACGTCATTCATGGTGAGAGTCCTTGGCAGGGCTAGTATGAAAATCTATTATTGTTGCATGCTGAAGAATCTACTTCATTACATCCCTACTGTGCTTTTCCGTCATTCGTGTCTGCAAAGGCTGCCATCTTGACCAGCACCCTGAGAATCAAGTGGAGAACTAAAAAAAGAGAACACGAGTACTAAAATTTCCCCTATAAAGCAATAACAAGTTCATTATCCTTGGGGAAAGGGCACTTAGGAAAATTTGTAGTGGTTACCTGTATGTTAAGCAAGATATATCAGTCCCACTAAATGCTCTAATTTCTGTCTGGCTCATACCACACRTTTCTCACAGTATCTATTTGCTCAAAATTTCCATTTGCGTCTTTCTAAGCTATTGTGTATGCAGTTTGTTCAGTATTAGTGCCCAGTTCATCTAGAGATGAAATGCAGAAACGACCAGACACTATATCAGCTGGAATACCTAATCCAGTCTCCTAAGAAATAGAAAGAGTCCAGCAATTCATGACATATATGCCACTGACTTATTAGGGAAATCAGGACTTTAAGGTATCTTAGGGATGATTTTTTTTTTTTTTTTTTTGGTAACTTTCCAAGACTTCCCTAACCTTTCATCCTCTTTTTTATGTAAAAAGCAAGAGCCTCAAAATAATCTAGAAGAAAACTTTTATATCCTCTAGATGCTAGAAGCTAGCAGAAAAGCTAAGTTTCATTTATTGATGTGATAACTATTTAGCCTGAAGATAAACTATACTTTCTGATTGACTCCAAAGAAGGTTCTTCCCAAGGTAGTTTTTGTCCAGCAAGGAGTTCTGCCGGATTGAGACTGGCTCTCACTGTTCTCAAAGCAGTCTGTCTAGGCTTGCCATTGAACTCATATAGTTCCATAGCAATAGCTCAACGTATCCACTATTATCATCAAACATCTCTTTCAGAACTTTGTTGACATTGCTGAATATTCTGGGTAGCTGAGTTTTCAAAACATATTGATTGCACGGTGTAGGGTGATGCAGAGCTATGTGAGGATGTGTTTACATTAGCAAGCAGCGTGATGAAATTTGAACAGCTACACAAACAACTGTTGCTGAGGTCCCAGTATCCACACAATATTCCTTTCAGTTTTGGGGTGTTTTTTTATTCATCCTAGCTCTAATCTGGTCCATGAATACCACCTCCTGCAACCCACTAGCTATGTTACTAAAGGAACAGCTCTGGGGCTAATTTCATCCAGAAAGAACACTGCTCACACACTCCGGAATCACCCTGTGATGACAGTAAAAGTGCACTAATTGAGACTAATCCAGAAAGTCATTTCAATCATGCATTCCTGATCCAAGCTATGTGAAGGCACACAAACCATGCTTCAGGTTTTKCATTCAGCAAGAACATGGAACACTCCATCTCTTCAGCATGCAGGCATTGTATTGTAGGGGAGAGAGAAAAGAAAGGTAGAAAAGGAATGAAAAATATAAATAATGGAAAAGTTTATATAAAGGAATGTGAATTGTTCTCWGAAAAAATAAGTTATAAAGTACATGTTATTTCACAGACGTTTTCAGTACCACCCCCAAGTTATCCGTAAACTGACACTGAAAACATTTGGTTCTCATGTAGGCAGCACCAAAGAAGTCCAACACTTACTGTACTAACAGCCTGTTATGCATCACAAGATATTAAGCCCAAGGCAAGAATTACTGGCTAAAATTCCATGACCAGTGCTATGGAAGGGGTCAGAGCACATAATCATAATGTTCCCTTCCGGCCTTAAAATCTATTAATGCAAGGATTTTGTTCTACTGGGCATTGAGCACAATTTGCTACAACAAAAAAAAATGAATTCAATTCACCGTAGTCACATAGAAAAGCAGTTGTTTTCAAGATTACACTTAGAAGAATTTTGCACAGAGTATCAGATGTATTCACATA